AAGAGAGTCCGTGCTTCCTCGGGCGACTCGGGTGGTCTCTTGATCAACACGTATCGGGGATCCTGGCTGAAGAGCATGAACTCCATGTCGGGCCACACTGGGTCGGAAGGGCTTCTCAGCTGTGTCCCCATATAAACATGAGCCATGAAAAGAAGAGAACATGAAGTTGCTTCGTGTGACAGGCCAGCCGCGTGCCAGTGAACGAGAAAGTGGTACTTCAACATGCCGTTGAGCAAAGGATGGTGTTTATATATGTAGAACGCTTTTTTCTTCATTATCCCGAAGATGGGGTGTCCATTGACCTTTGGATCTTGCGCAAGCTGTTGCCATTGTTCGGCAAATCCGTCATGGTTGGCCCAGGGACTGATGTCGTTGTATGCTTCTCTGAAAGGTTTGTAACATTCATCTTGGATATTGTCTGGCATCATCGGATCCTCCCAGTTATTCGTAATGGCCTGTTCTACTCCCATTAGATGGTTCAGGTAGACCTGAAGTTCAAAATGCGGTCGGTTGGTCATCTCGCCCATGATGTCTTGCGAGTCGAAATGAAGCTGGACGCCATATGTAAGCCACATTGGGATCTTGTGCTCGGTAAACATGTCCAATAGACCTTTGGAGACCATATCCAGCAGTGGTGGGCGTTTGGCTGCTTTGGCGACGATCCGCATGATTTGGGCAAGTTCGATTGCTCTGAATGTTCGATTGTGAATGTTGGCATCGCCGAAGTCCTTCGGCATCACTTGCGGAATCGAGTTCTTTTTTGTCATGTGCTTGTGGAGGTAGAACTTCAAGCCAGCGAAGACCGGCCAGAAGTCGAAATGTGCTTCACTCTGGGCGTCCGCTGTAACGCCAAGCCTGGTGGAAGGCTTTGCAATCTCCGCGAGAGACCACTTGTGCATATCCTCGTGGTTGTTGTAGAAAAGAACGGCGGGGAGCGTCCAGACCGGATACTCGGTGACTGGATATTTCTTCGGTCGTGTTACTAGCAAGTCGAACTTCGCCTCCGCACTTTGAGCAAGCTTAATAGCCGTATCCGTGGTCATGGCTGCCACAATCAAGTCGACTTTGCCGCTCTTGTATTTCTGCCAGTTGTCACGGACCACCTCCCTCATGTCCTGTTGCTCCTGTAGCATAAGCGCAACAGCAATCCAGAAGTCGTCCTCTTTGTCTTCCTCAGCTTCCTCGAGCGTGACATTAGATACGTCAGGGAGTGTATCTTCGGCAATATCTTCCTCGTCGGCTAGTGCCACGAGCTCATCGACGGTCAGCCCCGCGAAGCGATTGCGTGAAGATAAGTCAGCCACATTAGTAGCGGAACCATTGTTGCGTGCGATTTCTGGTCCGCCCGACCCGAGGAATGGCTTGAGGGATGCGAAGGTGTCCTCGAGAACCTTGATGAAATATTCGTGCCGCAGGTCACTGTTTGTATCCGGGTTGACTTTCGCCTTGTACCATTGCGAGACCTTCCGACGTGTCTGAATGGCGCGACTGAAGTGCCTGCATAAAGCAACAGGGACCATAATCTCAGACTCTGCTTCTTCTCCAGCTTTTGCTATCGCTTCTGCCATGGGTACAAAGTCCGATACTCCGAGTTGGTATACTGTGCCACCACCTCCACCTTTCGCATTCTGGTTGCCTTTCCTGCCCGCGCCCTTTTTCGACTTAGATCTCGACTTTGTCTGTTTTTGTTCTTTCGTTTTGACTTCGAAGCCGATGGACGCGGCGGTTTCGGCAATCCATCCTGCAATGTATTCGGTGGCTCGCTTGTACAAGGTGTACTTGGCGAGGAAGGTCTGTGGCTCGTTGAGACCCGACATGACGTGAGCCGATTCGAGGCAGAGAAGCGCTCGATGTTCGCGTTCTGTAATGGGTGGGGTGCCTGAGTGCGACGATGGCGGCACCTGGTGCTGCCGCAGCTCGTATAGCTCCAAATGAGAAGGCGGGCAAACCCTGCCGAGCGCCGCTAGACCTATTTCCCACTGCACGTGACCTTAGAAAGGCGGGGCGCCGAACTATCAGCGAGCACGACTCATAACGGCCCGAATCGATTCAAACACTCAACTACGCCTCAGATCCATTGGTATAATACGGCGTCATGTCAACGCAGCCGTTGTATGGATGCGAAACTGAATATCAGAATGATGAGATTGCTTGAATGTGCATAAAACGTATCCTGTTTTTGAGTGCCTACCTAGGTAGGTATGCTCGACATCCCGATCAGAAACTGACCATGTAAAGAGAGCTTCGGGACCTCAAAACCAGCTGCTGTACTCGTTTGTCAAGCGCATTCTACTTTATTCTTCGTTACATTGTACCTAGGTAGCAATAAATTAGGGCAGGTCTATTGGATCATCTGCTTTTCGACTATCATAGGCTTCCTAGGACAGGTGTATACCTAGGTAATCGCGACCGGATGCGAGATCTTCAGCGATGGGTGTTGCAGCGCATTCATTCAGAGTGTTGGAGTCACCCAAACCACGATGGCGATTCGGAACTTGGGTAGCCAAATATGTTTGAACGCGGAATCTAAGGCTGACGAACTCTCACTTGCACTTGTTGCAAGCCATGTTGACCGAAAGAAAGAGAACAGGGCTGTTTCTATAGCAAGAAGCGCAGTAGGTGTGGAGGATATCAGTACCCGTAAGTACAGTTTGAGCAGCGGTGAAGGACACCATTTCCAAATCTCTACATGTACTTTGGTAGTCGCCAAAAAGGTTATTAGAATTGTCAAATAAGCGGTCAGATGCTACTACTGTAGTCAGTAATCGGCTATCGTCGTCCACTGTGCTATGGTGTTGGTTCGAGATCTTAGTCGCGCCGTAGCGGCATCGTGGCGTTTGTAGACCCGACCAAGCGCCAGATCAATCAAACTCAAAGTTGACATTCACGCCGTCGAATGTAGTGTTGTCTGTAGTAGCAGTCTGACTGCAGAGGTCGATTAGAATCTGACCCTGGGGTCATTCTAGAACAACATGAGGAGAGCGGTGACTGTTGGCGGATGCCGACGAGCTTCGGAGCATGGCCGTGCCCTTCCTGGTGTGTCGCAAATGTCCCTGGCACATCTGGCACATGGCCACATTCCATCGCAATGCGCGAGCACCTCAGTACCATGGCGTCGCATTGCTTCTGGCCCTTCAACTACGCGCTGCATGTGCTGTACTTACCGCCTTGAGCTGTCACGTCCGCTCCTGAGTTTCGTCGACCCTGCGCGACCACACGCACTAGGCCATCAGCCTCGTCGCCCTCGCGTAAATAGGATGGCAGGATCGCGTGGAAGATTGCGTTTCGCCTCAAAGAATGCACTTCAGTTAAATGAAGTGTTTGTCGCGATTGGCTGCGCGATAGCAAAATGATGTAAATCGTCCTGCACGACTTGTTCAGATCTTGCTGCGTTGTCAGGAACCGGGTCTTTGTTGTGACGTAGATCGATGCAAGCGAGGTCGGCTGCTCGGGCTGTCACGCCAGGATCAGGCAAGGCGCGGTCAAGTGGGGCTTAACGGCCGCCTGGGCATGCAACGTTCCGTTCCATACATTTTCACAACGTCTCCTGAGAAATGCACCTGCTTTCGTCGTTTAGGACCGAATGCGGGTCTCGTTGTGCTGACCAGATGTGTGCGAATGGCCTCATCCAAACTCTAACGGATATTACGGATGTAAATGTCAGCCTTAGGACAATTCGCACAATTTGACAGCCTTCGACGTTTGAACTCTGTGAGTACCTATAGATTCCCATCCTTGTGCTATATCAAACGCTAGCCGAACCATCACCAGGTTTTCCACCGTGTTACAGGGCTTCCTTGGAAGCTGGTTCTAGATTCCCATTCGCCAATACCCTTGCTAAACCCCTTAGCCCCACGTTTCGATCGCTTTTCTGGACTTCGTCACACCTACCTCTAGCATCATCGGATGGCGTATTGAGGCGCTTGAGTTCTTTGACAGCTGTTTGCCACACCTTGTCATGGGTCAGCTCTGGTAAATCTGCCGGTTGCTAAAGAAAGATTTTCAAGGTTGGAATGAACGCGTGGTGTGGGTGACGATGAAGCATCGCCTCCACCAAGTCGATCGGTCAAAGCAAGACGACAAATGTGTACACATTCTCACATTCGCATGAATACACGTTCATGCTAGGTGCCGTTCAGGCGGTCTACGGGCACTCAGACCACATCCACAAGCGTTTGACTTGGTGAACTTGAGGCTCGGAGATGAGCCTTATGCAACGCCTGTGAACGAGCGCTCCGGTAGCCGGTACCCCAGCTTAGGGTACGTCACTGGCGCTGAAGCCTCAACTCGTGGAGGGTGTCCGACCACCCTATGGCATAGTCTGGGGCAGCCACAAAACCCTATGAGAGGCTTTGACGTGGACAACGTGCATACAGCCAGGACACCCTGCAGCAAATGTACGCGCCAGGGGCAGCGAAAAGATGCCCAATGTGTAAGTATGTTCGCGTTCGACATCTGATCCCTGCCCTGAATGGCTATACCTCCGATATCGATCTACGTTCCACAGTATCCATTCTTCATGCGACAGCAACTCCAGCCGTGCAGGTTTCGAGATCAACAGCCCTAACGGATACTCCACCCTCGGTACCAACCAGTCAGCATGATCAGCCAGGTACCACAGAGCCAAACCAGCTGAGATCGACGTCATTCTTTGCCAGGTGCAGACTCGCCATGAAGAAGTTGGGGACGCCAGGTGGACCTGTCACCGTTATTTTGACCGTTATGGACGTGCGCTCCCGGCTGTCAGCTAATTCCCCTGGCGTCGATGACGATCGTAGCCTGGGTATGCCGGTGTTTGATGACGATGGCAATGTAATGAAGCGTGTACTTGGAATGAACCTTGAACAAGATGAGGACTGAGAAGGTATAAAGAGGGCAACGATGCCTCGACAATTGAACATCATCCAACACATTCAACTCACATCAACAACTCTACAACACCACTTCCAAACAACACTTCCTTCTTTCACAAGAACCAACCAACCCAACCAACCTTCAAAATGCAGTTCACCATCACCGCCATTGTTGCTTTCGCCGCCACCGCTGCCTTCGCTGCTCCCCTTGACGAGCGCCAGGTTGGCCTCTGCTCTTCCGGCAACCCCGTATGCTGCGCTACCGATGTCCTGAACCTCGCCAACTTGGACTGCGCTCCTCGTACGTCCTTCCCATCCTCACCTATCAAAGACATGATCACTAACATTCTCTCAGCTACCACCACCCCTACCAGCATCAACCAGTTCATCGACGGATGCGCTGAGTCCGGCCAGCAGGCCAAGTGCTGCCTCATCCCCATCCTCGGCCAGGCTCTCATCTGCTCCGACGTCAACCCCACTGCTGAGGCTCCCGCTACCCCCTCCGCATAAGCGCCTTTCGTCGCTTCTCATTCGGCATGGCGCGAATAATGTATATCCTCAACGATGGTCGTGCCTTGGTTTCTTAGACACATGTACAACATCTTCTTTCGATTGGTTTAGATAGGGAGTGAGCATTAATACACATTTCACTTGGAGTAACTCTTCTTTATGGTGACATTGATTCATTCTATCTATAACTGAAAAGTCAAGAGGAGTGTTGGGAAATACAACCCATGCATTGGGCGAAGTTTGTAATGGCTTGAACTACCGAGGAGGCATTCGAATGCTGTGAGGCTGTCGGTATGACAGCTGTAGTGGTGTAAGATATATACGTTGGCGTCCAGCTCAACGCTTTGCGATGTCAGGAAGCCATGTGGGCGACATCTTCTCCCACAACCGCCTGAGAGGACCAGTCTTGTCCTCCTTGTCGTTCTCATCCGGGTCATCGGAGTCGTAACGATTGCATAGCGATGCCCAGACCCTCTTGTCTTTGAAGACATTCTCATGGAGGTACTGGCAGGCTTTGTACCATTCATCCCGAGAGTCCCAATCTGCAATCTCTTGGCATTGATTGGTCATCTCCGTGGCTCGAGAGATGCAGCTCGTAATGCTGCCTATCAATGGTGCCATTTCAAGGTCACCAGGCCACGGGCATCTACGACCTTGGAGTCGAAACACGACTGAAGCGCGTTTTAGGAGGGGTGCCGCTTTCTCAAGTTCTGCCTTCACATATGAGGCCATGATGAACTCTGGGTGTTGTGTAGGTAACTGGGTGAGCTCCAGTACATTGTAGTGCCATATCTTCAAGCTGGCGGCCTTCTGATTAGGCCAGTTGAATGACCTCCATTTGAGCTCTTTGAGCTGATCATCTGGCAGACCAAACCAATCTTCTTTACTGAAGTCAATGAGGCCTGGTGCACCTTGGGGCACTATCGGCTGCTGGGGAGGTGCCTGTTGGATAGGCGCGGAGGTACTCGGTGCCTGTTGCGGCTGCGGAGCGATCGTGATGGCAGGAGCGGGGAGGTACTTAGTGGTGGTGGGGATGGCGGACAGCGTCCCCATATTGGGTGCTGGAGGGTCTTGCGTACTTGACGCGGGAGGCTCGGGCCTCATGATGATGAGGTCTTGGAGACAATCCTTCAACCCAAGGTAGTTGGCGAATTGACGATAGAGCGCAAGGAAAACCATCAGTTCCTGGCTCTCTTGAATGGAAGCGCCTTCAGGCACCAAGTAGTTCCAGAACTCCACGATAGAGGCATTCCAGCCAATAAGGGATGACTGCTCCATGGTCATACCGCCCACGAAGTATGGCTTCAGGTCGCTCTCGGCACTCGCCATCAAGGTCCAAATCGCGTCTGCCGACGACATGTACTCAGTGCCGGTACTGGCAGCAACCAGAAAACCCCTCATCGCAGTCTCAAGGGTAGGTGCTTGACTAGCCAGGTTGCTCATGGTCGACCTGGCAAGGTCTTCGAGGGATGGCTGTGGCGGGGCCGGGAGGTATGTGATAGGTAGCTCGACAACCTTATGGGCAGGCGCGATGACTACGTGGTCCTTCGTGGTAGTAGCTGTCGACTTCGTAGTGATTTGAGCCACCTCTGGCTTCGGTATGGTAGGTGCCGCGGCGACCTTCTCGTGCTCGGTAGACCTGTAGGCAGGTGATGGTTGCCTAGGTGCAGACCGCCAGTAATCGCGTTCTTTGCGACGGGTATTGCCCCAAGAAGTCGACAGTTGAAGAACGGGATAGTGTGTCGGGTCGCGTCGATCGGAGTGTGCGAACGACTCGCCGGTGCCGCGGAAGTTGGTGAAGGGGAACTCGAATGGTGGTGGATATGAGGGAGGCGCTGGCTTTGCAGGCGTAAGAGTGACAGGCGGTGGTGTGATGTGAGCGATGGTGGCAGTGACAGGGAGCTTCGTCTCTTGCGACTGTCCCTTTTCGGCAGGATCATGGAGGTCGTCTTGGTCGGCCTCGGGATGAGGGCCTATCCAGTAGGTATACTTGATATATACATATAGGGCGAAGGTAAGGTAGACGCAGATGAGAAGTGAGATGAAGCGGAGGTAGACGGGAACTCCTTCGAAGTTGTGGGTGAACTGATAGTAGACTTCCCAGCAAATCTCCCAGTATAGGTACGAGACGGCGATTTGGAGGCGGCGAACAACAAGCGGAAAGAACTCAGATGATGCGAAGACGCGGCCGATGTCGAGGGCTACTAGCAAGAGAAAGCAAAGAAGGGCGATGGTGACAGTGCGCATCTTGTCGGTATAGCGTGCGGCAGGTGAGCTCGCAAAGTAGGGTATGATGAGATTTTGGGTATCGTCAAATAGAAGAGCTTGTCTTGGAAGCTGCGATGGGAAAGAATTGGAGTGTTTGGTTTGGAAACTGAGAGCAATGAAGCAGGACGGGTGTTTTGAGGGTTTGTATCGCTTTGTGTGTGCGCAAAAGATATTTTGACTGCTATTGTGGCTGGGTCCGTGCCTATTGTTGGTCACCGTGGAAATGACGACGAGTTATTTTGAAAAAGCGGTGGTGAGTCGCGAATTGCGATGCGGAGCGCTGGACAAACGGAAGGCTTGGCGCGATACCGGCGGTGGATGAGAAGTGAAAGGGACAGCGACAAGACACGCTAATCGCCAGAACGCTATCATCAGCTACAAATGATTTGTTTGACTAGGATATCGTCCCAGTAGAAGGAGAGGCCCGCGGATCAAGGTGTCTATGAAGCATGGCGTTTGCTCAAGTCGGTGGGAAGGACCATAGAAATAACATCCAATTGAAGCCGGAAGGTGCGTAGTTGATGAGTCTTTACCTACAGATTCACATCGCAATGTAAGTTCCGACTTCAATGCCTCCGTCCGATCTGAAAATCTAAAGCCTTTGCGAGGATGTAGAGCATCTCCAAACGTACGCACGCCACACCCTTCTCCTTGCCCATGCGGACAGGATTGCCCACAATAGCCTCTACTTCTATTCTCCGATTTGATTGAACATCCTGAAGCATACTAGGTTCGATACCAGCGTTCGTCGGGATCCTGGCTTGCGCCCGGCTAAGCTGATTGTCGACCTGTTCGCGCGTGATTTCGTAGCCATGCGCAGCTGCGATGTCGCGAATCTCAAGCATCACAGCTAGTACAACACCGTCCGCCTCTTCCGAGGCAGTTAGAATATCTGTGTCTTTGCTCAGAGCGAGAGCACACATGGGGTTCCAGGATGCATTGACGAGTAGTTTCATCCATCGCTTGTGCTGAACGTCCTCGTAGAATTCCGCTGTAGCACCGGCTGCTGTGACAAGTTCCGTGAAAGCTTTAGCCCATTTACTTGGTGCGGAAGATGGATAGGCTCCCACTTGGAGTTTCTCGACTTCACCGTGTTTGATGACGCCGGCTGGCCGTTGGGTAGCGGGCATATAGACGACAGCGCTGATGATAGGGTTGTTTGGGTATGCCTTCAAGTATTCTTCTTCGATACCGACGCCATTCTGAATAAGTACGATGGCCGTATGTCCAGGTGTGATGGCAGGAGCGATGAGCTTCGGTACCGTATCCGGGATAGCCTTGCTGCAGACGATGATGTAGTCAAATGGATCTGATGATTGTGACGCTGCTTCTCCACAGTCTCGGACTACATTGGGTTTGAAATGAAGGTTTTGACCGAAGATCGATGAATTGATGGTGAAGCCATCTCTCCTTACGACCTCATAATTCGAGCGGCAGACGGCGGTGGTCGCGGCTACCTTGCTGAGCAGGTACAAGTATACCGTTCCGACGCTACCGGCACCAAACAGAAGGATCCTTGGCTGCTCCCCCGAAGACATGGTAGAATCTTAATATCGAAGATGGTGTTGTACGTAGTTCTCCTGCAGTGCGACATGGAGGATTGGATGGATGTCACAGTCATGGCCCCACGGCTCTTTCCGTGGCCCCCAAATTTTCGCCGCGGAACAGGTACCCGCATTCTTCCCAAGCCAACTTGGCGCTCCTTTACAGACCATCAGTAAGCCATCTGCGGGAACAGTCAATCCTTCGTTGTATACTTGAAGCGGTTATTAATCCAGAACGACAGGGGCCGTCATACTTGTGGGCTCATTGCACGCGCGCAGGCTGTCGCAACAACAGCAACATCTCAGAGGACGATCATCGCACACAACCAGATAGCATCCACTGTGATACAGCAGCACAGCTCATAGCCCTGAAAAGGATATCGTGCCTCAGCCGCACTGTGGGCCCGCAGGAACACAGCGTGGCTTTTCATGCAATCTGGAGCCTCGCCTCGATTCGCTGCCTACGTTACCCATGCCGCATCCTGCATGCCAGGTCAGGAAAGGAGTGGTCAGGCCTGTGAAGCTATGATGGATACGACCACCAAGAGCTGGGCAACTAACTCCAGGTTGCCTTGCATCTTTATTAGTTGTCAGCTCCGTACACTAGCTGTGGTTATAACAGCTATGAGATGAACCGGCGCCCTCGTATTCTGGTTGTCTGCTTAGCCGCCCCGCCAAAGCCAATTTGCGGCTAACGTACCGCGCGTCGACGCGACGATGCATAACCTTCTCTTACTCCTCCTTACCGCACTCGCAGCGCGTGTTTTCGCGACAAGTCAGATAGCCCTCTTCGAGGATGATAACTGTCAAGAGTCATTGCGAGGTTTAGAGGGTCCAAACGGCTATCCGAATGGTACCTGTACAGATCTCAGGCGCAATGGCCCTTATGGGAGCTTCCAGGTCGTCGGCCTGGACCCAGGATGCACAGGTATGTTGCTTCGCGACAAGATGGATGCGAGGATGGCCATACTGACATTGCGCGCAGTCACTATTTATATGAACGATACGACCGTCGACATATGCTCCGGCTTCCAAGAAGAAATCCAACCGATCGACTGCTACAATTCGACCTTCGTATACTACAGTATCGACTTCTGCGACGCCGGCGGCATTGGTGAATCACCATCTGCCACGTCCACGCCTACGCCTACATCGACCCCATCGTTCACACCACCCCCCTCAGGCTCCTCAGGCTTGTCAACGGGCGCGATAGCGGGGGCAGCAGTCGGAGGAGGCATAGGGCTCGGCATAATAATCGGATTAGCGGTGTTCTTCATCATGAGGAGGCGGCATTCGTCACGCCCACGGGAGATGTCAGGTTCTACGGAGCTTACGAGCGTGACGCCATACGAGGTCCACGCAAAGCATATTCAGGAGTTGGGACCAGGAGCGGTGGCATACAAACACGAACCTGTGGAAATTGAACAACCGCCTGTTGAAATTGGGGGTATGGAGATGCGACGCGACGAAGAGAAGGGGCCGCGCTAGAATTGATGTATCAAAACACTCGAACACCGTTGGTGTGTCTCCGGGATCGTCCTTCAATCGCACCGAACCTCCCCTAGACCCTCAGCTGCTTCCAGAGTCCAATAGTGAATACTCCGAATACGTGTTCACCAGTTCCCATCGCCCGTTACTGAAGTCGATAGCCCCGGCCAGAGCAGCCCAGCCTCTGTCGTATTGTACCACATACTCATACAACTCTCCATTGGGGCCATCAAAATCATAATTCGCGAGATCAGTGCCAGGATGGGCGCGCATGGCACTGAGAGCTAGCTCGATATCCTCTCGCACGTCAACATTCAAGAATGCGGGAATTTCGAAGTCCAGATCCCAAACATTTGTTGGAGAATCCTGATACGGCGCCTGCTCAAGTAGCATACTTAGCCAGAGTTTCCTGAGGCTGGGCATGGTCTCGAGAATGTGCAGTGGCTGGTGCCATGTGCCATGCTGTAAACCCACAGATTGGATCACAACGTCCTCCAGTATCGACGTGTGCAAGTGCAGGAATGCGACCAACTCTTCGTGGTAGATAACCACCTCAGTGAAGTTGAGATGACGTAGACCGGGGAAGAAGAAAGTTCCCGCCGGTTCGCGAGCGAGCGGTAGGAGGGTATGATTTTGACTCAGCTCAAGCTTGGTGATACCGACACTTAGCCTCAACAGTTGTCCAATCCAGGCAGGATCCATGTCGTTCGTGGTAGAGACGTAGCGTAGTTTCTTGCAAAGGCGCTCACGCCAGTATCTGGAATTGTTGTCAAAGTACTCAAATGCGTCTCCAGAATGGGACGAGTTCCAGAACTCGAGCTTTAACTCGATCTTTTCGTCCACCTCAGCCTGTTCTATCGCATGCAGAGTCAAGCGGTATACCCGGTTGTAACCATTGTCATCGCCTTTTTCCCAAGACTTTCCTTCTGAACGCTCCAGACCGAACATCGAACTTCGTCCACATCTCAAGAGAATTTCATCATCCTCGATGTATCGAGGTCCGCGAAAAGATTCAACGTCAATTTGGATACTTTTCAAGTTGTTGAACTCCCGGAAGACCTCGGTGAGAATCATGAGATCCATGCGTGAGCGTTCAACGCTTGTCTGTAAGTCCATGTGTCTCTTCTCGTGTACCTCTTCACCAGCTATGAGAGCTATACCGTGTCCGATACGCTCGCCACTCACTGTCAACTCATGGACATATCTTGACAGCACAGGATGGCGGCAGATTTCGAGGAGTGTGCCAAGGCTGGTGGGATGAAGGATGACGACGAGGTTATTGAAAAAGCGCTGTCCGAAAGCGTTCGCGGAATGTGCTGTTAGTGCGCGACACACACGGCGTACGTTGATGAGATCTTCGTCGGCTAGATGATTGGAAACGTCACCGATAATCTCAGCGGGAAGGTCGAGGAGTCGAAATGGCTGCGGCGGCTCCTCCACGTGGGCCGCCTTGACTTGAGCGCGAGTAGTCACCATGACTGCGGTGCAATCTCTGCTGTAGTTGTGAATGAGACTGAAGGGTCTGCGATGATGTGAGGTGAGAGTTCGCGTGAGCGAGACGCTCTTGCCCGTTTGTCAACAACGGGGTCGTGCGCTTTTACGCTAGGCCTGAACCTGGGGTGAGAGAAGGTACGATGAAGGTAAACAGCAGCGAGAGAGTTGCCGGTAGGCGCGTGCAACATGAATTATCATCCTATTCATGATGTGCAGTGTGCTATATAGTGATCCCTAGTCCGTAGGAGCTGCCTCTTACCACACCGTGTCAAAACATTTCTCGGACTTTCCCGGCCGTCGCAGCCAACCGCTAGTTGAATTCTTCCTTCTTGACTCCAACAACTTTAGCTCATCACTTCGCTGCCTTGGATGCCAGAGCGATGTTTGCCGATGTGAAGTCAATTCTGTAGTAGTCCTCATAGAAGAGTTGATGTTTGTATGTTTGTACACCCTGAAGCAGAGCTCGAAGAGCAAGCAAAACGTCTGAGCGTTTATCACATCTGAAGCAGGATCTCGCGTCACCGTCCGTTTCTGGTGCTGTAGCGTAGGCTACATTTTGACCTAGGCAAGAGAGACTCAGACCTTCAAGAATTGGCAGATCATGTATGGTCTGCAGGATCTCCTTCCAGGATCCATTATCCAAAACGATGTATCCGAGATGAAGCTGAGTCAGAGTACTCTGATGCGCTTCGAAGAAGCCGGCTATAGCAGTGTTCTCAAGGTCCACTCCGCTGACGGCAAGATCTTGAAGGTGCTGCCAAACATGCACGTCGCCATGTCGATTGCCAAACTTAATACGCCCTCCACTAGGCAGTAGCTCCAGTTCCTTGAGCTCCGAGCATGAGGCAGCAAGGTGGGAAGCCCATCCACTGGTATCACTAGGACGAGCTTGAAATTTGCGGACCCTGCGCGACAGTCTCTCTTTCCAGAAAGGGGAGCTGATGTTGAACAGTTCAGCCTGAATTGGTGAATTGTCGGTATCCCTGTAGGGAGAAGAGCTCATGACTCGAAGATTCAGATCAAGGTGTATCCTGTCACAAACATTCGCGCGGTTGATAGATCCCATCATGACCTGGAGCAAGTGGCTGAGTGCGCTAAAGTCGCAACGGAGCTGTTGCGGAGTGAGTCTCTCTGGGCCACAACGGAGCCCGACGACTTCTCCAGTTAAATGCCAGGTTTGCACGTACGATAGGCTGTCTATCCGAATAGTTTCCAGATTCACAAACTTTCGAAGCGCCTCCGTGAGCATGTCTTCAGCTTTTGACAAAGGCATACCAACGTGGACCATCGAAGGAGAGCCACCGATCTCGCCGCTCATCGATATCGTCCGAACAAATCGCGAGAGCTTCTCGTGACGTGCATAGTATAATAAGACGGCGAGACTATCCCAACGAGGTAGAGCCACCAAATGCGCCAAGAATCGTGTCCCGAAAGTGAAAGTCGAGCGATCGTTGAGAGTGCAAGAGACCAGTCGGATCTTTCGCAGTGAGTCATCGTCCAACTGGTTGCAGACACTGCCGAACAGCTCCTAGGAAACGAGAACGCAGTAAGCACGCGATCAATGCATCGTTCGTCAAAGCGGATCACTTACAGCGGGCAAGTCGAGGATCCGGAAGATGCCATTCAAACTGAGCGCACCGAAAGCGACAGTAAGCTCGTCCATGTTGTCGCTGGCTCAGCTGACCGCGCAGTATGCGCGCCTCGAGTGAGAGAGAGAGAAGCGCGGATGTTGAAAGTGCGTGGACGGACTTTGTGGGTAACAGTTGTTGGGTATCATCAACTGCTCGCGCGCATTCACCTGCTAGCGCCAAGACTGCGCGTTTGCATGTGATCAATCCATCTCAAGTCTTCTTCGACGATGTCTCAACTACCTCACATATCGACATGACATAGGAAGGGAAAAGTGACTGATAAGAGGTAATAATAAATGTACAGATATGGAAGAAGTCTATGGTCCCAGACCCAAAAGAGACATGATTACCCAAAGTGCAACGCCGATAAATGCAGCTCCTGATATCGCAAACGGGCATGCTCCTGAACTCCAAAAGCATTGAGTGATACCCAAATCAAAAGCCAGACGTGCACATCCTGATACAGGGTCCACCGTCAATACACCTGATTGTACCCATCTCTCTTGTACATTATTCGTGCCAACATCAACCCTAAAAACATTCTAAATCTTCCTCTTCTTTGTATGAAACATGTTGTATTCTACCCTCTTCCTCTTCGGCGCCGGATCGGCCGCTGCCTGCGCATTCGTCGGCTTCGGCTTGGGTGCGCTGAAGTGCATCCCAGGCGGTAAGGAGGTCCGCGCGGGTGGTGGCGGCGCATTGCGTTGCTGCGGTGCAGGCCTCTGTGTAATGGTCGGACGATTCGCGGATAGTGACGGCGCGGGCTGAGTGTCAGGCTTCTTGGAAACGGACGCCGAAGCTTGGTTGGACACTACCATACTTTTCGGAGCCTCATTCTCCGCCATTCGGACCATCCTTGCTGGTGCTTGCCTGACGTTGGTCTTTCGCTGAGCTAGAAGATGTGCTGGAATTTGGCTCGCTTTCGGGCGCTCACGGCCATGGTCGAACATGCCGCGCTTCAGCTTGTCGAAAGCGGCTTTGCCCGTCTTTGAAGGTGCACCCGACGGTTGCCCCCAGCTGCTGGTAGTGCGTCCAGTGAACATCTTGCTTGCGCCGGCACCGTATCCAAACCTGGTCTCGACAATCAAGGTCTTGTTCTGTCCGCGATCTTTCTGCAGCGCTTGCATCTGCTGTTTGAGGGCCTCTTTATCCGCCTCTATCTCCAGTTCTGCATCTTTCTTCAACTTGCGATACACCTTGCTCCAGTTTCGAGGATCGCGCGGCTCATGGGGCTTCGTCTCCCAGTTCGGAATGTCTCGCTTGATAAAGCGAAGCCATATCTCGCCCGTCTCGCCAAGTAATTGTGGGCAGTTGGCCTCGAGTTCGAGCAACTGATCGGGGCTCTGTATGAATCGGAGGACTGGCTGGAGGAAGGAGTAGGGTAGATCGCCGACGTCGCGGAGCATATCGATATTCTTGATGAGGCGCTGTCGAGCCAGCTCGAAGAGGCTTGCGACAGGCATGGTGACGGTAATATTTATGCGGAGGATATATCCAAAAGCGTTGCGTATGATGTTGTTGTGAGGCGGAATGCGAAGATCAAACGGGTCGGGATGTGAAGGGTTTTGGTCGTAGAGAGGTGGTTTGCTGACAGGTTCGTCGGTGTTCGTTGATAGGGTGTCGTCTATGTAATGTGAATCATGGAACGGCCGAACGAGGGCGGCGTGAACCGTAGATGGGGCTGAGGACCCCACGGGGCTCACGGCAGCATGTTGGTGGGCTAGTCCGGATCAAGAAGCTTGCTGTAAGAGTGACGCTTGCCAGAGCAATGCGGAGCGATGAAGGGAAGAGTGATGAGAGGGAAGTGTGAGTGAAAGTGTAGAAGGCGCGTTGGACCGGTCTCTGACGTCTGGTGGCCCCGAGGTGATCACAGGCGCTAGCGGACCCCTGCAAACGCGTTGATCGATTCAACTCTTGGACCCCAGCATCGCGACTTTGACGACGACGACGTACAATACCACAAACAACATCTCCCCGTTCTTCGACCATTAGGAAAATATGGCGATCAACGACTGGGGTCTGCTTTCCCAACCGGATGAGGGTAAGGCGTCTTTCACTCACTACAAAGCTCCGACTAATTCCAGCAGATGCGCTGCACAACGTAGCCCGCCTACTAGCTGTCGAAGCACGCCCATACACAAACACGGCCAGTCGCATACTCAAGCCAGATTTCTTCGAAGATGCGCGCCCCAGACAACTCCCCTCCCCGCCCCCGGATGCCTCAGGCGCAGAGGAAGAGGCCGCAGCAGTCGCTGTCGAGCGCGAGCAACAAGCGCACAAGATCGAGATATGGCGGAAAGACATCATGAACGAGCTATCACTGCTGGACTTTGCGATTGTTCGATCCGAATTCACCACGAATAGCAATCACACCGAGCGCGCGCGTTACGCCGATGAGAAGACGGCCATCGAGGCAAAGCAGGAGCACGTGCGCAAGAACATAGAGAACCTGCGCGTCAGACTGGTCGAGGCGAAAGAGACGCTGGCCGTGCGCAAGACGTACGACGAGCTCACGGAGAAGATCACCAACAGCAAGATGCTGAAGCCACGGGACGAGCAAGCACACGCCCACGAGAAGCTGGACCAGGAGATAGAGGAACTCAATTCAGAAGTCCGGTTGGCTAAGGCTACCTGGAAGGAGCGACGCACGCAGTTCGGACGAATCGAGGAAGAGGCACGCGGCATGTTGCGCATGATCAAGGACGAGAAGGAGGAGGCTGAGCGCAAGGAGGGCATGATGAAGGATGGTGACGAAGATGGCGAAGGCGAGGGTAGCACCTCAAGAGGAGACGTTAGCCATGCCGGTACACCGCGACCAGATGGTGGCATGACACCTGGGCATGCCAGCCAGAGCGGAGACGGCTCTTCATCACTACGCGTACCACCACAAGATCGCCTGAAGCCTCTATCACGGGAAGCCAGCGCCGCGCCCTCACCTGCTAGATCTGGTGCCGCCGATGACACAGAGATGGCAGACCTTGGGGCACACTCAGGAGATGCCAATGATGGTGACTCTTCTGGGCTGGAAGAGGGCGAGGATCTTGAAGATGGGGAGGAAGATGGCGAGGATCGCACAGACACCAAGATGGACGAATCGTGATCACATGTAGACATTGATTCTTTGATGATTTGATTGCATAGCGCGGTGTTCGGGTATCATTCCATCATCTTTGTACCACTACCATACGGCAGCGGTTCCAACTATCTCTTCGGTAGTCACGAATCTAAGAAGCTTCACGCATGGCCGCCTTGCCCTTTTCGACAGCCTCTTTCGCCTTGGTGATTTCCTCCGGTGATGCCTGGGCGCCGCCTTCTTTGTTGTTCTCCTACAGATTGTTAGTATGGGATACCCAGCCCATAGCATCCTGAACCTACAAGCTCCTCCTCCAGCCGCTCAACTGCCTGCTCGATCTTGGTCTTCATGCCAGGCAGGACGTTCTTGGTCTCCTGGAGTGCTTGACGCTACACCGCAGTTAGTAATCATGTTTAGTATCAGGATTGCCGAGACTCTGTACCTCTTGCTTCAGGGTGTATTCGCCGTTCTCATCTCCCTCATTGGCCTCGGCCTTCTTGATGCGCGCCTCTTGCTGCTCGATTTCCTTGTGGTAGCTGGCTTCTTCCTTGACAAGGCGGGTTACGACGCCAGTTGCGATCGTGAGTTTAGATGGAGGCGCCATGATCAAGACTGATATTGGTTACAGATCGAAGTAGTGTGTGATTGAAAGAGGCAGAAAACGAGAACTAGAGGTTTAGTTGAGCTGATTAGTGTCGCTGTTCGTCGTTGCCTGCTTGTAAACATTTGTTCACAGCGGGGCTAGCTGCCCCACTAGTAGAATTAGTCTACAGCGTGGTCTGTATGTGTACACATAATGCTGTCAAATCGCACTTGATGTTTGCAGAATGAACTCGGTGGCTTTCACAGAAAGACATCTCCAGTAGCAGTCGTCTTTTGGCCTGCAATTGGACTTGCCTCTGGCATGCCAAGACCACTTACGTCCGTTTGCAGACTAGCCTAGAACGCGTCCCACGCGTCGTTGCGAAAGGAGTAGGCGCGACGAGCCCACCTTCCCTGGCAACCCCTCTACAACATCAACACATTCACCGTTGCTGCCGCATAGAGCACCGCAACCATGTCTTCCCCAGAGAAGCGCCGCTCTCAGCGCACTTCTGCGTCGGCGACTCCACGGCGAAGCGCCCGCGGTCAGAATTCTCAGATATCCGACAGCAGCCCAGCGCCAGTAGGTCCAGAGGAGCAGTTACAGTCCGAGGCTTCGCAGGCGTCGCAACGTGGATCGCAAGCGACTCCTCGCAATGCAAGATTCCAGACCACTTCGACACAATCCCCGCTCTTCTTCCGCTCCTCGCCTGCAAACCCCTCCAATTCGGGGCCAGCGAATGGTGACGAAGAGAGTGATGGCGGTGCGACACCAAAGGCGTCTGCCATGACGATTGGGGGTATGTAGAGACTGATATGAGCTCCAGTATGCACCGCTGACAGACACAGATTCATCGCCCATCCACTACGCATCCTCCTCTAGCCCTGGCCGAGCCCGCAATGCCCAGAGCAACATCCCTGGAAGCAGTAGCAGCGCCCTTTTCGTGGGTGGCTCCGAGTCCGCAGCCCGCAATCGACGCAGCGATATCCACTCAGACGTTTTCGGCACCAGCTCTACCAATCGCCGGCGCAGGCTCTTTGTCGACGAGAATGGCATGCCAGTACAGGAGGCATCGGACGCGCCGACCTTCTCCAACATCAATCCCGACACATCAGATGCAGACGTCTTGGGCGGCAACTCTACTCGAGTCATTTGGGGAACCAATGTGTCGCTTGTCGATGCCAGACATGCCATGAGAGACTTCTTGATGAACTTCCGAAGGAAGTATCGCATGGTTCAGGATGGCGAGCTGGCCGAGGGCTTGAGTCTTCCGGACAGCCACCCGGCCATGGCCAGGGAATATGTTGATATCATGAAGATGATGCTCGAGCTTGGTGTCACGCCTTTGAACCTGGACGCGCGCAATCTCAAGTCTTATCCGCCGACAAGGAAGCTCTGGCATCAACTGCAGGCCTACCCGAACGAGATCATTCCCATCATGGATGTGGCGATCAAGGACACGATGCTCGAACTCGCTGAGAAGCGTATGGCAGAGTTGCGAACCCAGATGTCACAAGCACAGCGTGCTGCTCAACCCAGGGCTCGTGACTCGAGCTCCCTCCCGCCGATGTTGAGCTCTGATGCCCCTACACCTGGCGCCCCGTCCCCGGCTCCGTTCGCAGAGATCCCGAACCTGGTCAGCGAGGTCGACCAAAAGACGTACAACGTTAGGCCGTTCGGTCTCGATCACACCATCAACTTGCGTGAGCTCAATCCTGGCGATATGGATAAGCTCGTCAGTGTGAAGGGCCTGGTAATTAGGACCACGCCCATCATCCCGGATATGAAGGATGGTAAGTGTGCCACAAGAATGTCCAAGGTCTTTCGCTAATGTTGCTAGCTTTCTTCCGGTGCTCTGTATGTAATCATACTGTCAGGGTCGACATCGACCGTGGCAAGATCACCGAGCCCACCAAGTGCCCGCGCGCCGTATGCGATTCGCCAAACTCGATGCAGATCGTGCACAACCGCTCCGGCTTCGCGAACAAGCAGGTCATCAAGCTACAAGAGACACCGGATGACATGCCGGACGGACAAACACCTCATTCAGTGTCACTATGTGCCTACGATGAGCTCGTCGATGTTTGCAAGGCCGGTGACCGCGTCGAGATCACTGGTATCTTCAAGTGCAATCAAGTTCGCATCAACCCGCGCCAGCGATCCGTAAAGAACATCTTCAAGACATACGTAGACGCCCTTCACATCCAGAAGGTTGACAAGAAACGAATGGGCATTGATGTGTCAACAATCGAAGAGGAGCTCGCAGAGCACGCAGCTGGTGATATTGAAGAGACCCGCAAGGTCTCCGAAGAGGAAGAGGAGAGAATAAAGGCTACTGGCGCTCGTCCTGACGTTTACGATCTGCTCTCTCGCTCGCTGGCGCCCAGCATTTACGAAATGGACGATGTGAAGAAGGGTATCCTGCTTCAACTCTTCGGTGGCACCAATAAGCAATTCGAGAAGGGTGGCAGTCCAAAATACCGTGGCGACATCAACGTCCTACTGTGTGGTGACCCGTCCACAGCCAAATCTCAGATCCTACAGTATGTACACAGGATCGCACCGCGCGGTGTGTACACTTCTGGAAAGGGTTCTTCTGCAGTTGGTCTGACTGCATACGTCACCCGCGATCCCGAGACCAGACAGCTTGTGCTTGAGTCCGGTGCTTTGGTATTGTCTGACGGCGGTGTATGCTGCATTGACGAGTTCGATAAGATGTCGGAGGCAACGCGATCCGTTCTTCACGAAGTCATGGAACAGCAGACGGTTTCCATCGCCAAAGCTGGTATCATCACCACGCTCAACGCCCGTACCTCGATTCTGGCATCCGCCAACCCCATCGGATCGAAGTACAACGTCAACCTTCCCGTTCCGCAAAACATCGATCTTCCGCCCACGCTGCTTTCGCGTTTTGATCTTGTTTATCTCGTCTTGGATCGTATCGATGAGCAGAACGACCGTCGTATGGCTCGTCATTTGGTCGGCATGTATCTTGAAGACACGCCCGAGAATGCTAACAAGAACGAGGTTATGCCTATCGAGTTCTTGACTGCTTATATCTCATACGCGCGCTCGAACATTCACCCCAAGATCACTGAGCCCGCATCAAAGGCTCTCGTTGATGCATACGTCGCGATGCGCAGTCTTGGTGCCGATATCCGCTCGCAAGAACGAAGAATCACGGCCACCACACGTCAATTGGAATCCATGATCCGTCTCGCAGAAGCGCACGCCAAGATGCGCCTATCAGAGGAAGTCACAGCCGACGATGTTCATGAGGCTGTCCGTCTCATCAAGTCTGCGCTCAAGCAAGCAGCTACGGATGCACGCACCGGTCTGATCGACATGTCGCTTCTCACCGAAGGTACATCGACCAGCGACCGCCGCAGGAAAGAAGACCTCAAGCGTGCGGTTCTTGCCTCGCTCGACGAGCTCGGCTCTGCTGGCCAGAGTGTGCGCATGAACGACCTCGTGAAGAAGGTGCGAGAAGGCGCCAGCGAACAAGTTGAGAACCAGGAGTTCCTAGAGGTGCTCCGTAGCGCTGAACTTGAAGGCGCTGTTCAAATCAGTGGTGAGGGTATGAGGAAGATGGTGAAGAGGGTTGTTGGTACCTTTTAGGTCGACTTCGAAGGCATGGCGTTTGAGGGGTTATGGGACTAGCATGCCTCATGGAATGATGATGCGATGTGGTGAATTGGGTAGTTTAGCAAGCACTTTGTTGTCGCGTTGCATTTGTATAGACATGAGGTCGTCTTGAATAAGGCATTGGATGTTCTACTTGGCTCAGATATCTCGCTGGGAATGTGTACGTCATGTCTTTTGACGAGTCTGATTCAAGGAAGGTGCAACGATGGCGACTGTGTTCCTGCGTCGCTTCCGTTCCTGCGTGAGTGAGGCACATCCATGGATGCAACCCCGCACTTCTGCGTTCTATTTCTTGCCTACCAACATGACCACACTGGCTTCTTCACCCTTTAGCGCTGTGCCATGTCGACCTCTAGCGTGAGCGCAGCGCCCGATCCATCCGAGTCAGAACAGGGTATCGAGAGCCTAAACCCGTCGTTTTGTGCTAACTGCTGGAAGCTTTGCATACTGCCTGAGGAGCTGGATGTTCGTGGGTTCGTATACGCTGAGTACACTCTGGAAGGCATCGCCGAAGCCGTAACTGGAAGGTGCCAACTCTGCTGTCAGTTTCTCAACTACCTTGAATCGGGAGATAGCATCCAAGATCTTACCGGAGACAAAGTCTTCCGCGCATGTCTCGCGTATGAATCAAATGCATCGTACGACACACGGTATCTTCCTCATGTCCATACCATCATCTTCTACGCTGTTGAAGGCACTGATCTCGAGGCGCGTGGCGGTGGACTCCTACTCGTGATCAGCGAGTATACTCTTACGAATGGCGTGCCATTCGTGTTTGAGAGACATGAATCCAACCAGCCGCGTCCGGTACGTGTCACGACAGCCTTGACATCTTGGACTGGGGATGAAGCGCACCTCCGCACCATCACTAAATGGGTACAACAATGTGAGGAAACCCATAGCGCTTGTCGTCTCGAGAAACTCCAGAAAAAGGGCATATTCATACCGACTAGACTTATCGATGTTTCAACCGCCGATCTACCGTACCTTGTCACCGCAGACACAGTTTGCAACCAGAAGGACCATAGGTACATCACCTTGAGTCACAGATGGCAGAATGCAGATATGCCCAAGCTTCTCAGTTCGAATCTACACGACTTCCTTAGAGCAATCCAACCAAACACGTTACCGGCAGTATTTTCGGACGCCATAGATCTGTGTCGAAGAATGAGCGTACCCTTCCTATGGATCGACGCACTCTGCCTGATTCAGGATGACCACACAGACTGTGACCGCGAGATTTCTTCCATGGGAGAGATATATGCCAACGCATTCATGCATATAGGGGCAACAGGGGCATCCAACAGGGCTAGCTCAGGACTGTACACTGAAGTAGACCCGATTGGCCTCTCACCATTGTATGTGAACTTCCAACG